TCTGAAAGGAGCACAATGTTGTCTAAGAAACACAATGTTGTCAGAAGAAGCACAATGCTCAAAGTCAAGGAGCACGATGTTCAAGTCAAAGGAGCACAATGTGGCAAAAGAGCAAGATGATCAGAAATTAGATAAATTCGAAGGAATTTACTCCAAGACCACCCACATGCCACAAGACTCCAAAATTGCCTGAAAGACATTTGATCAGAACGGAAAAATATTTATGAAGGCATGAATATAAAAACTTATCCTAGAAATAAATTCTATCAGATGAATTTATTTCAAAGATTCGTTGGATATTCAAATTGACAATTAAAGTAATATTTTTAGAAACAACTAGAAAATCAAAGTTGTGCTAAAGAATTACTTTGTCAGGCAAGTTGACAAATCAAATCAAAATTGAAGATCTACTACTGTCAACAATATCAGGCTATGAAGATTCAAATTTCAAATATCAAATTATCCCACTCCAACGGATATATTTGATTGACTATAAAAAGCCATGAAGACTTGAAGACAGAGAGCGCGAGAAGAGATAGAGGTGAACGAGATAGAAGTGCAATACACACCAAAATTCAAAAGTGCTAGTGCTCAAAATATTCTAAGAGACTTAGTCTGAATAGTCTCAAATCTAGTTGGAGAGAGAAATACAAATCCTTGTATTTGTAAACTGTAGAAAGAGTATAGCTGTGTGCAAAATACTCTAGTGAGTGTAGCTGTGTGCAAATAACTCGTAGTTGCTAAGTGTAGCTGTGTGCAAGACACTTAGTTGGCGTTGAGTATAGCTGTGTGCGAAATACTCGGAGTTGAGTGTAGCTGTGTGCGAGACACTCGGAGTTGGGTGTAGCTGTGTGCAAGACATCCGGAAGAAGTGCTTGTGTAGCACTTATTCACTATTGTAACTGTGTGTGGAAAATAGTGAATTTCTCCTAGACGTGAAAGGAGAAAAGTGGACTAGGAAGATTACGCCACTTCTGAACCACTATAAATTGCCTCTCTCATTTACATACCGCACTTACATTATTTGCTATATCTATCTATCTCATCCGACTAACCCGTTTACTATTCACTGTTAATCTTAATCATCCGGGTTTAGTGTGTCCTCACGTATGCATGTGACTCAAACTTCTCGAGCTTAAATATTGAATTATTCTAAGCAAGTTTGACGTGTTGCATGTAACATTCATCACACGGTCGACGTGTTACGATATTTATTTACAATCTTGAATATTGTTATTATATATTGAGTGCACCATCTCCTTTATATATTCAAGATATCTCTGTCACTTTACATATCATTTGTACCTATCTTACTTGCACACTTAATTTACTAGTTGGGCATAACTCTTTACTATTATTCCGCTGTGCAGTACAAATTTGCTCTATTTACTTGTTACTTAGAGTTGAAGTTACCGAAGAGTTATTTAATTTGAAAAAGCTTGAAAGTCTATTCACCCCCCCCCCCCCTCTAGACTTTCACCACCCTATCGGGACCAACAGTCCGCAACCTCCCGAACTGTTCGTGGATTGCCCAAGCCACGACAGTTCCAACTTATGATACTCATAATGATGGGCGGGTCTGGGAACCAGAACCCGCCGTACACAAGTTTTTTGAAACCTCAGTCATTGTAACATCCACTCCCTGCCCCTCCGATCTCCCACCATCCACAAACTCCTCCCTACGCCTCTTCCCCACCCTTACCACCAAACCCTCAGACCCCTCCCTATTCTCCCCCTCTACTGCCGCCTCCCTCACCGTCAACCCATCGGAAACCCTTCTCCCCGTCACCTCCCTCGGTTGCCCATCCGGCGGCAACAGCCAACTCTCCCCTACCGCCCTAGGCCCACGCCGAAACCCTGTCCTCGTATCCCCGGAATACGGGTAGTCCTCTACTGCCAAGGTTGATTCACGCGCATGCAAGCAAACTTTATAGAGATGCCCTAACTTGCCACAGAAGAAACAAAAATTGTGTAAGCGCTCATATTTGAAAAGCACCCAACACGTCATTTTGTCCCGTTTCATAAACCTCATCCTCTGGCGCAGGGGTTTGTCCACCGATATTGTTACTCTTATACGATAAAACTCCTTCCACGGGGCACCCACAAACCTATTATCCATCTTGATGAACGATCCCAGAGTATTCCGAATCTGTTCCAAAATTTTATCCAACGTATACCCCATCGGCAAAGCATGCACTTGTATCCACATATCAATCGTATCCAAGCATACATTCTCCGGCCGAACCCCATCCTCAATCGGCCGGCACACTAACATAGCATTCTCATACGCCCACGACCCCTCCTCCATCACACGTTCAATGTCCGTTTTATGATGGAAAACAAACATGAACAGCCGGGGTTGTATCTCCGTGACCTGCATACCCTTGACTGGCTGCCAAACCGATGCTAACACCTGGCTCATGAACTCCACCATCACCAACTTCCTCGTTAGAAATCGTCCAAGCAGCCGCCATGTCTGGACCCCCTCGGCCGACTCCGTTACTGTCTCGTCCGGTCCCGGCTCAAAGGTAAACGCATCCTCCTCCAAGGCCATGTCGCCCCATCGCTCCGTTATATCTGCAACCTCATCATTCGCCTGTGTCGACGCCATCAGTAGTTAATCGTACGTCGCCGTGCGATTGTTTTCGGACAATCGGAAGCTAGAAACCGGTGAGTGTGCCGTAAAGAGAAACCTAAGCGGTAGGAAACCCTAGATTTTCCTAGAGAGAGAAAATATTGAATACCCTCAACTAACTAATTTCATACAATTAATATAATTTGTAGGTTTTTCAAGTTTCAAACACCAACTTTAAAATATTTTTAAAACTAATTATTTAAAATAGAGTTAGTTACTAAAATGGTCCCTTGACTATAGCGAAATTACCAATTTGGTCCTTGACTTTTTTTTTTAACCAATTAAGTCTATCAACTTTAAAAATTTTAACCAATTTGGTCCTCCGTTTGTTTGACCGTTAGTCAACCGTTAACTTGGGACCAAATTGGTAATTTCGCTATAGTCAAGGAACCATTTTGGTAATTAACTTTAGGGGTGGGCAATTCAGTTTAGTTTTCTCGAATCGAACCGTACCGAACCGAACCAACTAGTTTGGTTCGGTAATATATCGAACAACCGAACGGTATTGGATTCTTATATACCGAACGGTTCGATAAAAAACTGATCCGAACCGATCCGAATTGTTCGGTAAAAAATTGAACTGAACCGAATACCGTTTGATTTTTTTTTAAATATAATAATAATAATAATAATAATAATAATAATAATAATAATAATAATAATAATAATAATAAATAAATAAATAAAAAGTAAATCCAAGTCCCTTGCTGCTTGCTCTGCCATTCAGCTCATATTTTCACGGGTATCTCTCGTAAATGTTTTGATTTCCTTATGGTTTGTTATCAAAAGTTCTATATTATGTGTTATGGTGTTTACATAGTCCATATCCAAAGTCTAATAATATATAACCAAATAGCAATCCAAATTTCAAACGATATTCGGTTCGGTTCGGTCTTTTCCGAACAATTCAGTTCGGTTCGAGTTTTTACCGAACCGTTCGGTATACAAGAATCTATTACCGTTCGGTTGTTTGGTATATTACCGAATCTAACTAGTTTGGTATAGTTCGGTTCGAGAAAATTTAACCAAATTGCCCACCCTTTAAGTTAATTACCAAAATAGTCCCTTGACTATAGCGAATTACCAATTTGGTCCCAAGTTAACTGTTGACTAACGGTCAAACAAACGGATGACCAAATTGGTTAAGATTTTTAAAGTTGAGAGACTTAATTGGTAAAAAAAATAGTCAATGACCAAATTGGTAATTTCGCTATAGTCAATGGACCATTTCGGTAATTAACTCTTTAAAATATTAAAAATAAAACTTAGTCTTCGTCTCCTCTCTGGAAAAGATCCAACCGCGCCGCCGTCTGCCTGCTGGAAAGTTTCGCCAACCAGCTGCCTCGCCAGAGTAGGAAGCCGCTGCTGCTTCTTGCTGCCGGGGAAAATAGCTACGCCGGAGAAGGTCACTGGACTGCTGCCATCCGCCATAGCTCCAGCCGCCGTCGAAGAGAGGGAGAGCCACCGCCGCCGGTCGCCTGCGTGTCACAACCCTGAGATTAAGAACCAAATACACAGAAGCAGAGGTAGAGAAATAGAAGAAGAAACAGATAGAGATAGAGAAGAGAAGAAGAAATAGGTAGAGAAGAGAAGAAGAAAGAGGTCTAGAGGAAGGAAAGGAAATTAGATTTCCAGATTTCAATTCAACAAAAGCATAAGATGTCTGAAAAAATATACAACTAAATATATAAGATAAGATAATCTAATAAAACAAAAAATTTCTAACAAACTTCCGGATTCCTTGCTGCCAGCTTTCTCTAGCCCGGCCCGGATCAAAACGCAGTCGTCTGATGCTTAGTCGTTACCCTCCTTCGAAACGGTGTCGTACCTCCCCCTTCATGCGACGTCGTTTACCTGCTGAGGATTAGTAAAACAGCTTTGTTTCTTTCCCTCTTTAGCTCATGAGATGTCTGCACTTCCACCATCCCTTTTTCTTCTGGTATTACTAACCGGGGGTGTGACATTACCTTCCCCTTCAATGGATCCTTGTCCCCAAGGATCAAAGCTGTGAAATTGTTGCTTAATGTGGTGAAAATTTTCCCATGTGGCTGCCTCCCTAGGCAAGTTTGCCCACTGCACCAAAATTTCACTTCAGCTGCATTGTTTCTTTCACCATCCTTTTTCATCACTATTGAGTGATAAAAAGCTTTGCTGTTTTGCAGCTCCGAAGAGTGTCATGTATTATGTCTTGGACACTATACTTAAAGAATAACCCAAATCCCTTAATTTTTTATGAAATCACTGGGGGGTTTGTGAGTCATGCTTTTTCATGTGTGTAGTGGGAACCAGATATGCTTGACTTAGTTGAGCAATTAGTTCAGATATTGAATAATTATGAGTGAAACATATATATTGCCCTTCTGCTCTAGCATTCTCCATGAGGAATATGTGGGCAGAGCATTTGTCTTCTATGTGAATTAATGCAATTGATCCCATTCTTCAGTTCATGACAGCTAGTATTAGTAACAGCTTCGCACCCCCTCTTATTAGGGATAAGATCATTCAAATGCCTGATGGAACTGTGGAAGATTCGGAAGGGACCACTCCGCTCAGCTTTGGGACTTAATTCCATTTCAACAGATCCAGCACACATTTGGCCAGCTTGAATAACCCTCGAATCTACACAGTAGCACCAACTCAGACTTTGGGGAATTCTTGCATTATTATTCTGCTGCTATATTGAGCAAAATTGGCCATAAGACCATAAAGCATCATGGACCCCTTCTACATAAACCCAAATTTGTTTATGCAAATAAGAGACATTCAAGCCCATCCATAACCATATCTCAGCCACCATGAGTGTATTCCTCTGATTTGCTGCCCAGCCCAGCTTCTCACAGCAACAAAGAATTGCAGATATGTAGCTCCGAGAGTGGTACTGCATCTACCAAGATCTGTGTAGCATTTACAGCATTCACCCCTTTCAGTTTATATTAATTCCATTAAAAGGCCTTCAATTAAAGTTCCACTCAATCAAGCCTCAGAAAGTTTTAGCTGCAACCTCTGGTCAGTAGAATCTGCAATTCTTCTTTCTTAACACAACTACATAAAGTGTCATCTCCCATGGAAGGATCCACTCTATGGCAACATCAAAACTCCACTTTAAAAGTTTCATTTTGTTGCTGCACTCAAGGCTTCATTCACATGCCTTCCCATTCCGTAGCTCTGCCGATCAGACTCCCCAGATGCAGATCACATTCCATTCCACTTTCTTTTCCATTCACTTCTGCTCAGATTTCAATAGATCAGAGGTCCACCAAGTTAGGTGAACCCTCCTTATGCCTCCAAGGATAATTCAGCTCAGATCAGTCTACTATCTGGTCACCAGAATAATATTAGGGATATGCTGTAGAAGTCCATAATGTGCAAGAAGAGCATGTGTCATCCGAATTCTGTGTGGCTTCATTGGGGCCTTGCCCATAATAATAATTCCCAACTCATTGTGGCTGCATCTCTATCTCCAGTGTACAGCATCTGATGTATGATAGGAAAATATGGTATATTACTCCTTTACTGACATTTGTAGTCCCATCTTTTTACCCACCGAATTCTTCCATTCTTACAGACCACTGCCAAGCTTTTTAACGTACCAAGAGCCCTAGCATAATGTGATAACTGATAACTACTAGAAGACCTTCTAGGATGGCAGCCAAAGCACAACAATTTGAAAACAGTAAGTGTACTTCTCAATGAAAAATTAAAGTTCCTATGCCATCCCTTCACATGAATCAACCCCAACAGAGCACAAATTATACCCACAATTGCAGTCAAATACTCTCCCAATTCATTGAGCTTTTATCACCCCTTTCATCTCCCTCATACCAAGTCAAACAAATAACATTACAGCAACACAAGCAATAATAGTTTAAACTTGCAGCAACAAGAAACTTATAATTTTAGCATTCCTCCCGGAACAAATGGAAATTCACTCCACCATGGTATTTTATGATTGACATTGAAGTAATATGGTTCCACAACTCTCACCACTCCTCTCAAGGTAGTTAAAACTATTCCATCATTAGATGCATATTCAATATTCAGTCCTGAAAATTTCCCACCTAAAATCACATATTCCACCCCAACACTTTCATCATAGTTCATCACCACATGCATACCCATATTTTTAGCCGTAATTCTAACATTAATTTCTTCAAGAGATAGTAGATTACTCTTAGGTGTGTCATTAGGAACTAAATAAGAATCAACATAATCCATTACCTCAAGCTTAACAATGGAAATCAGATGGTACTTGTGATCACTCCACTCAGACTCCAAGCTAATGAGGTGTTGAGAAGGATTTTCATTCAGAATTAACCCTTGTATAGAAACCAACACTTGCAGTATGGTTGATGTATTCGGCTGCCACTTTTCAGTATCCTTACCAGTCCAAGTGTTCAAAAAGCTGAGGCAGACTTTACCACACTCGTATAGATTAGGATTCAGTCTCAGGCCACCGGAATAATAGTAAACCACTGGTGGTGTATTTGGGTATGTGGAAGGAAGCAGGACATCAAAAATGAAAAGACCATCATGATAAGGAGTGCCCTGAGGTCCAACAATCACTGCCCTAAGAAGATCCATCCTTGTTTCATATACTCTTACATATGTGGTGTCAGGCATATCAAGATTAAACACAGTAGATAAACACCTCATATTTAGCATTCCCAAACATGAACCATATAACCCACGCGGCATAGAGAAACACTAGAAATGGGGAAATTTCTTCTGTTTACTTGGCATTGCAACTAAGTGTACTTCTTCATTTTTAGCAGTAAATTCAACATCAATTCCTTCATTGACATCACTAAGTTCCTCCAATTCATCAAGAGGAGGTGAACTATCATTAATCATGCCATTATCAACTAAGCAAGGAATAGCATTTTCAATTACCTCAACCTCAACTGCCGATGCTTCAGTTTCATTCTCGTTGGAAGATTCAGACTCCGCAACTGCATTCTTCACATCAGAACTGCTTTTTGCTGCTGTTTTGGCAGCTTCAATAATCTCAACACCTGGGTTCAGCTTCTCCCCTTCCGATTCACCGGCGAGGTCTCTAATTTCTTCAGCCGCTGGAATCAATGGAGCAGATCTGTCACATCTGCCGGCTTCAAGTTGCACAGAGGGTGGGAACAACTTATTCTGCTGGGAAGCCATTGAAGGTATCTGCACTGTGGAGCTTCTCTCTACTAGATTCATCACTGGAGAAGCAGGTTGGTGATGAACTGAAGAAGGATTCCAGCAGATGAACGTCTCAGCCTCGTCCAGACCACCGCCCTTGGCTTTCTTCATCATATCCGGCAACACCCCAATACGTGAGTTCAGCTTCTCCCCTTCCGATTCACTGGCGGGATCCCCAACTTCTTCAGCCGCCGGAATCGACGGAGCTGAACTAACGCTTCTACCATGAGCTGAAGAAGGAACATAAGCAAGAATGATATACCCGTGGTGTAACCTTAACTCCTCGAAAATCTCAACTTTCCATGCCTCCATTAATTCCTTAAAATTCTGAATGGAATCCTTCATCTTGCTGACTAGTTATCAGGCTATTGTCTTGCTCAAAAACCCTAACCCCAAGTCTGCTCACCCGGTCCTTTACCGTAGTTAGAGCTCCCAAGATGGGCTCTGATACCAAATGTCACAACCCTGAGATTAAGAACCAAATACACAGAAGCAGAGGTAGAGAAATAAAAGAAGAAACAGATAGAGATAGAGAAGAGAAGAAGAAATAGGTAGAGAAGAGAAGAAGAAAGAGGTCTAGAGGAAGGAAAGGAAATTAGATTTCCAGATTTCAATTCAACAAAAGCATAAGATGTCTGAAAAAATATACAACTAAATATATAAGATAAGATAATCTAATAAAACAAAAAGTTTCTAACAAACTTCCGGATTCCTTACTGCCAGCTTTCCCTAGCCCGGCCCGGATCAAAACGCAGTCGTCTGATGCTTAGTCGTTACCCTCCTTCGAAACGGTGTCGTTCCACTTAATGCCCAACGGCTCTCAATTTCCCCCTTCATGCGACGTCATTTACCTGCTGAGGATTAGTAAAACAGCTTTGTTTCTTTCCCTCTTTAGCTCATGAGATGTCTGCACTTCCACCATCCCTTTTTCTTCTGGTATTACTAACCGGGGGTGTGACACTGCGTTGATCTGCTGTTGATCTGCTCGCCCGAGGGGAAGTCTCGCCTGTAACACCCCAGATTTTCAAGACATTTAAAACTTATAATAAAGGTAGAATCTTATTAAATCCCAAGATATAAATACAAGCGTTCGGGGTGTTATGCCACACCTGGGCTAGAGAACCCAAGTGCACAGGCTAACTAACTAATATCCTCAAAACGTAAATACGTAAACGTGGCACGCAGGCCAAAAGGGAAACTATCTATTTCTAAGTTCTAGCGCACTCCAGTGACTTAATCTTCTGTGCCTGAAAGCCAAATATATCTGTTCAGCGAGAGATGCTGGTAACTCACTCCAACGCGTTGAAATACAATACATATAGAGATATATATAGATATACGAAAACTATTTTGAGCATGAAGATATATCCTACGAACTCTAGCTTTAAAAACCGGGAATGACTCGACAGATAAGGCCAGACGCAAGCAACAGTTATAACGAGCATATGCAGTTCACAACACATAAGGCAGATAAGGCAAGGCATAAACAATGATCATAACCCAACATGAACAATCCCCAATATAAATCCCATAGTCACATCCCCCAAGACACTCGTAATCACAACTCGTCCATATCACACACATAACGCACATTGTTGGCGCCACAGGACCGATCGCATGCCCATACATGAGGGTCAGCGCATATAGCTCTGACACAGCCCCGCAGCACCATGCCCCGCATCGCAACACGGGGAGGTCGATCGCAACCGACCGATGAACCACAGCTCATCATAATGTTTGATCGCAACCAAACAGTGGACCGCAGCCCAAGAGAGTGTCATCTGACCGCAGCCAGGATAAAGGACGAACCGCAGCTCGTATAGAAACGTTTGATCGCAACCAAACGGTGGACTGCAGCCCAAGAGAATGTCATCTGACCGCAGCCAGGAATACCAATCTGACCGCAGCCAGCTTCTGAACCGCAGCTCAGGATAACCAATCTGATCGCAACCGAATTGGGGTAGCACGCACACATAACACATAGCAAGCACATGCAACCCACGTTACACATTGGGAAGGGGGATAAAGCGTATAACAAACCTATGCGTGATCCATCACATACTAAGAATAGTCCTAAGGGGTTCATACTTCCTTCACCTAGGTCAACGGGATACCAATTCATCTAGCATGCGATATAACAGACTCATAAACCTACGAACGGTACCCGAAACATCAAACTAGACACAGGCACGACAAACGGGGTCCGTTGGGACACCACGGGGATCGGGGAAACATCAAACGAGGAAACCGGGAGCCCGAGGTAGTGTGATTTCCAGCGGGTAGCCGGTGGGTGGGGGTCCACCCGCCGGCTGCCACTGTTCCGGGCAGCGGGTGCCCGGCGGGCAGCTGCCCGCCCGCCGGCTGCCCGCTGCCGGAGCTGCCCGAGAATGCCGCGGGTAGGTGGCGGGTCCCCTACCCCCCACTGACTCTTTTCACCACTTTTCGTCCCGGGAACCGTTGTGGAACCCGAAACCATGCTTAGTCACTTTCCAACGTAATTAACGACAACACATAGACAATTAACGGATCAAATACGATAAACGAACGGCACATAACCTAACATGCTTTTCTAAACATAATCAACACCCAAACATGCGATTTCCCACCCGATAATCCAACAATCAAAGCATACGGTACAACCTAGGGTTCTAATTACTTTTATATCAACAAGAATACGATTCGTCTTCTAATTGCAAGATTCGGTAGGAACAACACATAATCATCAAGGATACCAATTAATCATCAAGAACATCATAATCATCAAGAACAACACGTAATCATCAAGAATCCCAATTAATCATCAAGAACATCACAATTATCAAGAAACTCCCAATATCAAGATTATCAAGATCCCCCATGGAATCATTAAATCAACATCAATAATACTCATAGTAATTCGCCATTTACAATCATATGGGGGAAACCCTAAGGGGAAATCATAGCTATGAAAATAGGTTTTGTTGAGACATGGGTTACCTCTTAGCCTTAATTAATTCCTTGGCTATGAAGGGTCTTTCTTTAAGCTTTCTTGCTTTCTTGATTTCTTCTAAGGGGATTCTTGGAGCACTTTGGGGTGGTGGAACGTTTATTGTGGTGGGGGGTTCTAGGTGCCTCTTAAGTCCCCTATTTATATATTTAGGAGTCCTGGTTAGGAACTAATATTATAGGCTTGCTAATTCTATTCCTTTTGGAACTAAGGATTGGGTTTAGGGATAAGGGTCCATGGTCCATAGTGGACCATATTAATTAATTAAAGGGAATCCTAATCGTAGTCTGAATAGTAAAAGGCATACTTCCTTTATTCCTAATAGATAACTAGGTCTAGGATTCCTAATTAGAATCTGAATAGTAAATGGTTTACTTTCTTTATTCCTAATAGGCTTAGGACTTTAATTTAGGCAAGGGTCCACGGTTCATGGTGGACCTTTATTAATTAATTAAAGGAAACCTAACCGAATTAAATCATATTTAATTATTATTAACGGGATTAATTTAATAATTAATCCGGGATTGAAGGCCGTCACACGGGGTGTTACATCGCCGGTCAACGAGAGTCGCCGGATCTGTTGCTGCTGTTGCTAGTTACTTCGCTCCGCCGCCGATCTGCTGCAGTTGGTCGACGAAGGTGGCTGCCATCGCCACTGTTGCTCGCGCTCTGCATGGAGTACGCCAGAGAAGGGGAACCACCGCTGCTGGAGGACGAAGCTACTGTCCAGCCGCCATCGACATAGCAATTCGCCGGAGTCCGGAGAGGGGACCAAGACTAAGTTTTTTTTTTTTTTTAAATTAAATAATTATTTTTAAATCCTTTTTAAAAAATTATTTATTTATTTGTTTGTTTATTATTATTATTATTTTTAAATAATTATTTTTTAAAAATATTTTAAAATTGAGGTGAGCTGTTAGGAACCTGAAAAATTTTTAAATTAGACTAATTGCATGAAATTGGTCAGTTGAGTGACTTAATTGTAAGTTTTTTAAGTTGAGTGATCTAATTGTATTATTGCGTACAGTTCGATGGACTATTTGACCTTTATTCATTTTTTTTTTTGAAAGCATGAATTATTATTATTATTATTATTATTATTATTATTATTATTATTATTATTATTATTTAAAAATCATATCTTAATATAAAATTATCTAGTAAGAATATTTTTAATATAATAATACTAGTCGACGTCTAAAAATAAAAATAAGTATATTATTTTTTAATATGCATAGTGTTAGGACAAAATGGGAACTCAATGCATATTAACTTTTTCTTTTTGAGTGATATATACGAAGGAAACTGCAACAATTATCTAAATGTGTGTATTAAATAAATCTAAGCTATGGATAACTTAGAGCATCCACATCAGTGGATATTATGGAGATAATGTCAGATGAATTATTTTGGGTGG